CCTTTCGCTGCTCTGCCACGGCGAGCTGCTGCTCTTGGTTGTCCGTCGTTGGGTCGGGACCAGCGGGGCTGCCTACCCGCTCCTGGATCCCATCCTCGTCGCCAATTGTTAAGTCCGTGCTTAACAAAGTAGTCAGAGAGTGATTTCAGAAAACTCAGGTTTATTCAGCTCTTCAATCGACTTCTTCTGACACGGTACAACTCCTCATAGCCCGAACAGCTTGTCCATTTCAGCTGCTCGGTATTTAAACATTCCGGGCTAATGTAGCCACACCTACTGTACATTAAACCAACCTATCAGGTTGTGCGCATGAACGACCAATCATAAGCGGTCCCGCTTACATACATTCAAATCTGATTGGCCACAATACTTTTCGGCGCAAATCCCTGCCGAAGCTTGAAGCTTTGCATGGCTTCTCTATGGGAGGATTTACATACCTCCTAATGCATTCAGGGCAGCATCTGAATACATTACAGATTGTAAGTCCACCAATCAGAGCTGCACAATGTTATGGAGGGAAGCACTCTGATTGGACATTATCTGTACATAGTAATTGGTTGTTATGTGACATGTGGGCATGGCTACCTAAGCCCAGACTGCTTAAAAGAGAGCCTGTTGCTCTATGTGTTTGTCTCGTTCTTGATTTCTTCTGACTTGTAAATAAAAGCTGATTCACTGCAAACAAGCTGCGTTGAGTCTCGTATTCAACAGCAACCTTGTAATTGGTGGGTGCGTGGGGGGGGCGGGCGCCAGAAGGTAACCTCGCCTAGAGTACAAAAAAACCTGGAGCCGGCCCTGCCTGGGCGAACTGGCGCATGGCTGAGATGCAGCTCAGCTCCCTACGCACTTAAAGGGACAGAGTAGGGTAGGTGAAGGGAACTGTGATCATGTGGAATAGGGATGCCAACTCTGGGATGACAAACTCCTGAATATTTGGAGGGCTGGAGCTTGGGATGGGCAGGGTTTAGAGAGGAAAGGTACCTCAAAGGGTCATAGTGTTGAATAGCCTATCCTCCAAAACAGCCATTTACTCCAGGGGAACTGATCTCTGCAGGGGTCATTTCATAGAAAAAGAGGTGCAGGAGCTTATTAGCATAACACATTAGCATAACGTTTGCATGTGCCACACCCCCTGACATCACCGGAAGTGTGTCAGAAGGCAACACCCACCACTCAGGCTCCACTGGACTGTTTTGGATTGCTAGGTATTGGGGGGGGGCATGCAGATCTGCCCTCACAGAAGAGGGAGAGCTTGTACCTGAATAAAACTTGATCTTAAAGGTGCCATTGGACTGTTTTGGATTGCTAGCTATGGGGGGGGGGTAGGCCTTAAAGGTGCCACTGGGCTGTTTTGGATTGCTATTGGGGGGGGGGGGCTCTGCAACGTACCTGGTTGCTTCTTGCTCCTCGCCCAACTGAGGGCTGTTGGGAACAATGGGCGGGGCTTGTTGCATGTACCCACCCCCTGGGCTCCTTACTGCCGGAGCTCCGCTCCTATGCGCTCCCACAGGAAATAACTCCTGGATCTCTGTAGTTTGGAGATCGGTTGTAATTTTGGGAGATCTCCAGGTCCTACTGGAGGATGGCAAACCTAATATAGAGAACTGTTTGGATGTGTTTCTTGGCAATAAAGTGAGCCTTAATGCCACTGAGTCCATGCCAGTCTCTGCCTGCCATGGAAAACACTTGTGAAGTCATGCTCCCTCTAGTGATTTTTCAGAGTCTGTGGCCTTCACATGTGCATATGGCTTGTTCATGGAATATGTTGTTGAGTTCTTGTCCCTTCCCTCGTTCACCACTGTTACCTCCACCCCAGTTTCAGTTTCTTTTACCCTAAAAAGTATGCATCTAGAACGGCAGTAACAATTAGGCAGGGGCTTGCAGGAGGAAAGCAGCAGGTGGGGGAAAAGGTTCAATGCCCTTCTCCACACACCTTTTCCAGCTTTAAATCACTTGCTGCCAAAGCTGTTTTACATAAGAAGCAACCAATAGAGTATGACAGTGCCATTGCAAATGGTTACACTATTTTAACCCTATTGACTTAGAGGTGTATAACTCAGCTTTCCGTGGACTGTAAATATGTGTTGTGTTATATAGGTCGACCCTTATTCCTTGAACATACATAACTAGTGCTTTCAACCACCTTGACAATATGAAATATAAGACAATGTATCAGACTAGGGCTATAAAATAGGCTAACTTTGGAAACAACCCTAAACAGATCTGTTCAGAAGTAACTGCCATGTTATTCAATGGAGAAAGTGTTCCTAGGCTTGCAGCTGTAGTGACTCAAATCAACTATGATATCGACATGTCTGTTCCCCATTCTGTTTGCCACCTATAATAAAGGAATTACAAAATGGAATATACTCAAAAATTAATATACCTGACAGCATCTACTACTATGAATAGAAGGCAGAAAGTTTAAAAGTTAATTATGAGTCATTCGTGCTACTTTTGGTATTTGGTAAATTCAGTCTAATACTTATTTTCTTGTGAGTTGCTTTTTCATTTGCAATTATTTCTTAGAGTTCCTAAACCTTTCTTCCAGGCCATAGCCAATACTAAATCCAGACTAGCTTTTCTCCATTAAAGCTATTGATACTCAATAAGGAATTTAGACATGGCAGGAAAACAGGCAAATTTTCAAGTTGGGTAGAGGCATGTTTAAGTCAATTAATAGATTTTTATAAGTCAATTAATAGATTTTTATAAAATCCTGGGCACGGATTAGGTGAAAAATGGAAGATAAATCTTTGGTGAGAAATAATTTACTACAAATCAATATATCTAAGTCAAACAATCTCATTTTGAGCAAATAATGATTAACTTTAAGACATTAAAAGGTCTATTAGCTAAAACATATGCAATACTAACAGAACTAGACTATAAAGCACCACTATATAGAGCAAAGTAGCAGTTAGGTCTGACACAAGAGATTACGCATCAAACCTGTGAGAACTTTACAAGGACTTTTAAAGTACCTCTGTCAATGTTTGCATAACAGAAAATAATTTGAAACTGTTCTATAGGTGGCATTGTACCCCAGACAGGATTTGTAGGATGTCTAAAAGTGGATATGATAAAAGTTGACACTGTTTACAAGTTAAGGGCTCTTCTCCGCATATATGGTGGAGTTGCCCAGCTGTGAAGCAAATTTAGCAAAACATAGATTTATTTTGTATTGTTGTGGAAGCCGCCCTGAGCCTGCTTTGCGGGGAGGGCGGGGTATAAATTTGATTATAAATAAATAAATAAAAATTTCCAGGCTGTATTATCATGGTCTTGAAGGACCTGACGTTTGGCCAGCAGCTGTGACTGGGGACATCCAATGGTAGGCAGACTCTCTGTGTCACCTTGACAAAGAGAGTACTCCATCTTTCTGTGTTATACCTCTGAGGATGCCAGTCACAACTGCTGGCGAAACATCAGATCCTACAGTGCCAAGACCACAGCCACACAGCCTGGAAAATCTACAACAACTAATGAACTTCGGCTGTGAAAGCCTTCGACAACATATGTAAAATAACAAGGAAATCAAGCCTGACTGTTCCCTGGAAGGCCAGATACTGAAGTTGAAGCTCAAATACTTTAACTACCAAATGAGAAGGCAGCACTCACTGGAGGAGACCCTGATGCTGGGAAAGACTGAAGGTAAAAGAAGAAAAGGACGGCAAAGGATGAGATGGTTAGACAGCCTTACCGATGCAACGAACATGAAATTGAGCAAACTCTGGAGGACAGCCGAAGACAGGAGGGCCTGCCGTGATGTGTTCCGAGGGGTTGCAAAGAGTCCGACAACAACAACAAAACATGTAAAATAGTAAGGACAGTTGTGGAGTGTAAAGTGCCATGGAGCACAACACTAACTCTGTTTGGACAGAAATTCAAGAAAACTTTATGCGTTTTTCATTTCTGGCACAAAGCGCATCTAGTACAACCTGCAATGTGTCGCTGCCACTGTGGTTTCTACAATCCTTGTATTCATCACAGGGCTCATGATTTAGGTTCTTTTTCTCACCGACCCGTTCTGAAGGCGTGGCAACTAGACCCCCACTCCCCGCCCGAAACTGTTGCAAGTAGAAGGAAAACAAGAGAAACTCTTGCTGGAGTGGATTGCCTTCTTCAGACTTCATCTCCTTTATTCAGTTATAAACCACTAAAGCGAAAGAAGCCCGAATCCGCTTCAATTAGCGGTGTTGAAACAAACAAACGCAAATATATTCCCTCCGCGAGGCCGGGGAGGCGTCCAAGTCTCCCCAGCCGCCGCCACGTGACATCAGCGGCGCACCTGCCGCTGCTTCTCCCTACGCCGGCGGCGAAGGGCCTTCCTTCCGTCCCCTGAGAGCGCGCCCTCCCCGCCCTCAGCGGGGTCTGTGCCGCCGCTTAGCCGCGCTGTGACGTCCCTCGAATAGCAGCTCGAGGCGGGTGATTCTTGTGAGGCGGCTGGGGCTGCCCGCAACTTCCCTTTCCTTTCGCTCAGGCAGCGCTTCAGAACCAGCCAGGTCAGTGGCAGGGCGCCTCAGTCCGGCCGGACCCTTTCCCTTGGGCACGGCGAAGCTGCCTTCACTGCAGGGATGGCGGCGGCGGCCCCTGCGCCCTGGGAGTTGTTCTGGCTACTCCTTCTCCTGCCCATTTCCGTGATGCCTTCCAAGCTGAACATTCCCAAAGTGCTTCTGCCGTTTACTCCGAGCACCAGAATCAACTTCACCCTGGAAGCAAGCGAGGGCTGCTACCGCTGGTGAGTGAGGGCAAGGAGGACCTTTTGGAATCCGGCGCGCGATTGAGGCACGTGGCGCAGGTGTGCCAGCAGCTCGCGTTTGGGTGTGCAGCACGTGGGCGAGGAAGCCGGGATGGGGCCCTGGAAAATAAACCTTCTTATCTTGCGCGACCTGGGTAGTTCTGTGGAAGGGTGGTCGCTGGTCACATATCCTGGACAAGCTCCTCTTTGCCCCTTCCCCCACAATTGTCTTCTCCACAGGGCCCTTGTGCCACAGCTCCAGGCCACTTTGGAAACTAAAATGAATAGCCTGCAGGAAACATGCTACACAGCATTATGTTGTGCAAAGTTAAGTGCTCTTAGTATAATCAGGCTTTTGTTTTTTCATGGACTTGACCAGAAAAATTGCGCTCTCCACACAGGAATCTTGAATGAACTATTACATTTTGAACTATTTTGTGTGTTTTTGAATTAACTATTAAGTTTTGGTGTTCTCACCATTAGCCAAAGGCGGTGGTACCAAACTGAGCAGACTGGTCTTAGTGGCAAACATCCCAGTGATATCAGAGCAATGGTGAACATCTCTGTGTGTCCTTTAAATAAAATCCCACTTTGGGCAATGTTCCTAACGTATCAGGAAACAAATTTCATAACTTTTGGGCAAAAATGCAGGTCCATGAAAAAAGAGGGACCTGGCAGATGTAAAATAGTTGGTATCTTATTTGGCAGTTCTGTTGCATAACTCTTCCAGTTGTATAGCTGTGCTGTTGAATTCATAAAGGGTACGCCATGACAAGGGAACTGTAATATAAATTAGGTACCAACATGGCTGATTCTTCCTTGTGAATATTAACATTTTACATTAAGAAAGGAAAGTGTTTAAAAAGCTTGAAATTGCATTACCAACTTTGGGATATTTGTATGTCACCTCATTATACGTAGGCTGTGCATTTAGTAATCAATGAAATTAATAGAGAGCACACTTAATTTTTTAAATTCATCTGCTCATGCCAAATAAACGGAAACCATTTTATTTCCAAGTAGCCATTGTTCTCCTGCTGTAATCAAACTGGACAATTCAGTCAGTTCAAAGATATTCTCTCTTGTGACACCTCTTCTTCACACTTGTCCTCATCCTTGAAGCCTGCCAGTAATAGAATATTTGATACCAGTTCTAAATATTTAAAGTTTAGCCTTCATGCAGTTCCTGTTTGTTTTACTATCAGCTTTAATGTAAATGTGATTATTCCATTGATTTCAGGGGAAATTGTTTGGCAGAAGTGTGGTCAGGGTAAAGCTGAATAGCACATTTCTAAGCATATATATTCTAAAGTTCCATTCAGTTCTTGGGAATTTATTTCCTGTATGTAAAGCTGCTTTATACCAAGTTAGACCATGCTTGGATCATGAGTTCACCTAGTTCAATATGGTCTCCTCTGATTAGCAGCAGTTCTCCAGAGTACCAGGCAGGCAGAGATTTTTTTCTACTATCTGCTACTCGATGCCGTTTAACAGAAGATACAGGGGACGGAATCTGGGACTTTCTACACGCAAAGTGTGTACCAGACGCTACGCCGTAGGCTCTCCTGTAATTTCCAGAGGCAGAATATCGCCAACCACAATGCAGGCAGGGCAAAGGCAGTCTGTGTATCAAACTCCAAGCACTGAAGGAACACTTGTAAATGTAGATTCAAATCAATGTAGTCATGTTGGTCTGAAGCAGCAGAACAGAGTTTGAGTCCAGTGGCACCTTTAAGACCAGCAAAATTTTATTCATGGTATAAGCTTTCGTGTGCAACCACTCTTCCTCAGATACAGTGGAGGTTCTGTTCCACTGTATCTGAGGAAGTGTGCTTGCACACGGAAGCTTATACCAGGTCTGTGAATAAAGCTTCATTGGTCTTAAAGGTGCCACTGGACTCAAACTTCGTTCATTTGGAAATGTAAAACTGTTTAGAATGTCAGTAATTGATGGATAGCACTTGTGAAATATGCAGGCATTGTTAGAGGATATATAAATTTGTAATTTATGTCATAATCCAGTATTGTGCAAGAGAAATGGGTATCGATAGCTACAGTCCTTCACCACATTTCTTTCTGTCTGTCATGGGAGGTGTATGAGACAGGGATTTGACAAGTGCCATAATTGTGAGAAACTATGGTCATCTCTGAAAAGATATGCCTTTAGTGACCAACTAGTGGGAAAAAAATGTTTTCCCCTTCTCTTTCAAGCTGCCCATAGGACACAATGGCTAACTTGTGCGTTATCTCTGGGCAGCCTATTAAAACATTTTGCTGGCTAATAACTTTGTGGACATGTGTGGCAAGTAGAGTAATTGGCCTGGCTATGGCCATTCATTACGATCACAAGCTGGTGAAAAATAACTTTGTTCTGCAAAGCCTTCCCTTGTTCATGTTTAGTGATTACAGAAAGCAGGAAATGCATTGATTTAAGACTAGTGTTAAACTGGAGCTATATGTCTATTTTAACTGGCAGGAAGGCAGTTATCCTAATGTCATCCAGAGCTGGATCCAGCGGTGCCTTTGCACAAGTGGAAGGCACTTCTGTTCACATTAGGGGAAGGTCCATAATTTCGACTCAAGCTGCAGCTCCCCATTTCCCAATTGAATCCTTAAAGAGTAGCTAAGTGGGTGATATGGGCGGCTTCAAAACACAGGTGAAATGGGTTTTTTAAAAGTAGAACTCTGTGGTTCTTTGGCTCCAACCCTTAGAGTATATTCTAATATTTTGGTTCCCGGCCTTTTTAATTTTTCCATTTATAGTCTGCTAACATGCCTTAGTTGGGCCACCACATAGAAGTGGCAGCAGCTACAAGCATGGACGGCTTCAAAAGGGAATTAGATAAGCATATGGAGCAGAGGTCCATCAGTGGCTATTAGCCACAAGGTATATAGATAGGGGCTCTGGGGCAAGTGATGCTCTGTATTCTTGGTGCTTGGGGGGGGTCAACAGTGGGAGGGCTTCTAATGTTCTGGCCCCACTGGTGGACCTCCTGATGGCACCTGGTATTTTTGGCCACTGTGTGATACAGAGTGTTGGACTGGATGGGCCTTTGGCCTGATCCAACATTGCATGTTCTTATACATGTATGTTCTTATACTTCTTATACATGCAAATAACATATCAAATCATGCAATCCTGAACAGAGTATACTCTTCCAAGTCCATTGAAGTCAGTAGACTTAAAAGGATGTAACTCTGTTTAGGATTGCATTCTATAATGGTTAAAAAGAAATTAAAGCATAGTATCCTGATAAAATTGTGAAAATTAGGAAAATAAGTACATGTAATAAGATGTAATGCATGAGTAAACTAAAGCTACCAATCATGCTTCTGAGTGCTAATTTTGTTTTAATGTTTGTTGCTTCTTGGTTTGGTATTTAGCTTATGATTGTTTGGTAGGATTTCCTAAAGACTTTCCTAAAAGTCTTGGGGGGGGGGGGGAACTACACAGAAAAAGACCAGGAAGCAGTGTTATATCAAATGTGTTTATTCTTGTTATACATGCAGGGGGAAAAACAGGAAGTAGCCTTTTCAGTTAAAACACTGAAATATGTTGGTTATAGTTTCATCAAGAATGATTAAGCCAGCTACAGTTTACTTCTTTAATGTTTTTTTGGTTATAATTTTAATGCAAGTTGGTGTCTGGCAATGGACTTGGGTTGAGATAACAAGAGAATTTCCAAATTTATCCGCAGTGCGATTGCATCCAGTATATATAAGAGAGATAAACTGATATACTATTCATACATACCTTAATGTATGTAGAGTATATGCTTAGTTGAAAGTCACATTGCACCTGTCTGCTCCCACCTTCCAAGTGCACATTTTCCGCTTGAACCTGGCATGCAGCCTCTCCATTTCTGAAGAGGGCGTGAGATTGGCCTGTAATATTGAACTTCAGTCACATAGACCCTAGTTAAATATTACATTCAGTGCACTGATCAAAGGTGGCACCTAATAGATGAGAATGGGCAGCAGTGTGATCCCGCTTCCTCACTGTGTACACATGCTCACTCCTATTAATGATTGGATTGCAATGGAGATCTCATTCAGCCTCTTGAATAACAAACAGTGTGCGCTGTTCTGTTGGTTATGCGTTAGAAAGGAAACATTGATCAGTCATCACAGTCAAAGAGATACTCTTGCCTTGAGCCAGTGTTTCTGCTGTTGGTGCCAATAACCGTTGCAGTAATGTAGATTCAAAATTTAGCAGTTTGTTTATGCAGATTTTGAACTAGGTTAGGAAACATTATTTAATATTTTGTTGCTTGTACATTTCAGTATAGAGTCATGTGAGCTTTCATCAACCTGGAGATGCCCACAGACCATAAGAATAAAATACAGGCAGCACAAAGAGTGAATGTGTCCCAGAAAAATTTAGAAGAATTTTACAAAGACATTCATAAACACACTGGAGGGGGCTATTTTTGTAGTTTTTATTTCTTTTGGTACTTTGCTTGGCTAGTAAGAGCTCATTTGTATTGATGGACATTGGTGACTCCCAAAATATCAGCAATTTGTTTTATGCCCATTGGCCCTGCATTTTTCACTTCCTGAATTAAGCAAATTGTCACGCTTTGCAGTTCAGAGTTTGACATACCCTTTCAAACAGCAGTTTTGTTTTCAGCTTTAAGTTTGCTTTCTGAAACACAGGCAGGATGTATGAGTGGTACATCTATTTTGTGTGTGTGAGAGAGAATTTGGAGGAAGTTGCAGCAGTCTATGTTTTGGCCTTCCTAATCTATGTTTTTATCTCTTCTTTTGCTCAGAAGAGCAAACTGAGCTGGCACACGAGTGACGAAACTGTAGAGAGTCTGGGTAATTAAGCAATGCAATACAACACACTTAAAACCAGTTTTCTTTCAATTTAACTGGCCTGCCTTCACTCATTGTAATCTGTGAGTGCAGAAAAATCTGTTTTGAGTGTCCTTTATCCACCCCTCACAAAGCAACAGTGTCTGAGTTGATAGAATCCCTAGTCAGTTGTTTAAAAACATATTGTAAATATGCCAAATACTTATTTATTTCCTGCCTTTTTTCATCACAGAGGTACATAGTGCTCCCAGAAGGTCTTCTACTGAGGCATTAATCAGACCAACATCAGCTTAGCTTCTGCAAGGTTGCTGTATTATGTTCCCTCCAAATATACTATGAAACAATGAAAAGAAGGTATAGCTGCAGGTGTAAGTGCATTCAGATAGCAGTAGCCCTGTCACACTTCCATCTTGCCCTGTGGTTTTACAGGAGATATATTGCTCTTGTATCTGACTGTCAGTCAGCACCCTTTCAGTTGCTGAAATGTCTAGTACTGAGTGCTGGATAGAATCCACACAGGTCATTAGTTACTGTGCAGTTGAGTTTTCCCCATGAGGAAAGGAGAATGCATGAGGTGAAGACTCTGGTAGTGCACTATTCAATGTTATGTGAATCTAGTCCTAGAGTCAACTGCTGCTTGTAGAGCAGATCGTGGTGGGGGAAGGAGTGTAGTTTGGAGAAGGTGTCTGAGATATGGGGATGCTCGAAACCCTTCTGATCTCTTAGGAATGACGGTGTCCAGGTTCCTGGTTTACCCTCCCTTTTGACCTTAATGTTGTGCAATGCCAGATCGATAAGGGACAAAACTGCATCTCTTCAAGATGTAATGAACAGGGTGGCTTTGATCTGGCTTGCTTGGCTGTGACCTGGGTGGAGCCTGATGAGGTTGTTCCTCTTACGCAGCTGGCTTCACCCGGTTTCTCAGTTCTTCATCAACCTCGAACAAAAAAAAATGGAGGGTGGGGTGGTAATTCTGATCTGAGAGGGTTTTCCCTTTCAGAGGATCCCTGTACCTCAAATCTCTGGCATGGAATGTGTTGGCCTGGTATGGGGAGCTGGGGAGAGGGTGGGTATCTTGCTGGTGTACTGTCCACCTAGCTGTCCAGTGGATACCCTGCCGAGGCTAGCTGAAGCACTATCTATGTGGGCCTTGCGTTTTCCATTACTATTAGTCCTGGGGGACTTCAGCATCCATGCAGATGCAGCCTTGACTGGTGCTGCCTCAGACTTTATGTTGTCCATGTCAGCACTGGGACTCTCCCAAGTTGTACTGGCCTTTATGTATGAAGCAGCCCACACATTGGATCTGGATGTCCCCAGTCATAGAGCTGGTGCTGTGGTTGGTTCACTTCCTCTTAAAGGTTGGCGTGAGATTTCACAAGAGCAGCAATCTCTTTAACTGGTTTAACTATTGTAATGATGAACCTTCCAGTTCTGTTGTATGTTTTTAAAAACTTGTGAACCACCCTAAGCCCCATATTGTGGGAGAGGGACAGATATAAATCCCAAAAATATTAACAATAAAACATCATGGGGCTGTGTATCTTCAGGTGTTTCTCCATGGGGAAGGAGAGATTTATAATCACCTTTAAGATATGCATCTGAAGTGCAAACGAGGAAAGGGTTTTGAAGTCATGCAGGTTGTTTTCTTAAATGTTATTTGGATTATTAAAAGTTTAATATAAAAATACTTTACTAGGGATCATTGGCTCATGGTGCAATTCATACACATAGGTTTAAGAAAGAGCTTGAATTGAGTTCCATTCCTGTAGTCCAGAACAGGGAAGACTTCCAGGATATTCAGTTGCTGACCTAAGAGTATCAGTTCTCCTACAAAGGAATCTCAAAGGGAGATTAGAGAGACTGCTGAATTGCAACTGATAATGAAGCTCAAGACAATGCATTCTCCTGGACTGAATTAGAACCTAGGTTTCTTCTCTCATTACCAATGCCTACTATTGTCATTTGGCGTCTGGCATCACTTCACTCTCCAAGATATAAGGACAGATGGAATCACATTCTAGC